GCAACTCTTTTATAGAAAGGATAAACTATAGCAGAGGAGTAAACTGCAAATACTTCACTTATCAAACTTCAAAACTAGCACATACATAGTAACATTTTCTTCAGTGAACATTTTTCATGCAGAGATATGATTTTTTGACTAAAAATGTGTTTTTCGCAACAACAAAGGTCATGTTGTTGGTTGTTTGCAGTTTAGGCATTTTAAATAGCTATGATTTCATACTATTACTTCAATTACTTTTGCAATAAGCCAAATTGCAGATCTAAATTTGAATCTCTTGCAAGTAGAGAGAGGTATCCACCAGGTTGTCGTTCCTAGAGTTTCATAGGACTACTGGGACACTTATCAGCCATATTGATCTGAAGATGTTTCTGGAGCCTTTCATATCTAGTGAAATGGCTAAAACACTGTCCTGGCCATATGCTGCTTACCCTGAAATTGTGTTATCTGTTAGGTACAATGTTGGGTTTCTTCACCTGACACACAGGGAGTTAGGATTTATGCTTCTCTTTAATAAACATGAGATTAAGTCACAAACTGAAACAGAATGAGTCTGGCATTACAAGTTCTCTATGTTCAAAAATGTTCAGACATTAAAAACAGTAATTTAAGCCATTGGAATATGAACACAGTAATATCTATGACAAGAATTTTTCTTCTAAAATAACTTTGGACCCCTGCCTTATTTTCAATAGTCATTTGGAAAGGCAAAGCTTGTTAAAAATCAGTGGGTCTTAGAACTCAAGTTACCTCTAAAATGTGATTTAAACTCTGATTTCACTTAGGTATTTTGAAATGTCTAACGGTTTTGATGCATCAATGATCCTCCAACACATTCCTTCCATCTGAACATTATTACTATGTGAAACATGATTTTCTCCCTTGTTTTTGTCTCTTAACATATCTTTACCTCTCCTCTTCTAATTCAGTAATGGTGTCATTTCATTCTGTCAGTCATTTGTGGGTATTTTGCTGGAATAGAGGTTTGCTCAGTGAAGCTGCATTATGTTACATCATTGCTAAGAATTCAAAGTATTCTGTGATAAGTGCCTGGTTTCTGATTAGATTGCTGCAGCCCACATCCTGCATAGAAACTACTATTGCTATCAATATCTATTTTCCTTGGGTTTGCTGCTGATTCACACTGGAAATATATCATATGAAGACTCTACTCTTTAGGCCTTCTTCCTCACTCCAGATATTCTTCTCATCATCACATCACAGAGAGCTAAATGAGGAGTGCTTTGTTCTATGTTTCCATGTCTACTTGGCTTTTCTGACTCACCTTAGTGTCACTTGTCTCTCTGCATCTCACACCAGTGGGAAGACTCATGCACCATGATGAGTGAACCCCCACACGCCCCAAACACACAGATAGTGATATCCATCTCTACATATAAACTAATAAATATGGCGAGGGAAAGAATTATCAACATACCTTCTAGTAGTACTTTGGTACTGTGGAAATTTCACATGTACCAGATTAGTTTGGCTAGTCACTGAGCTTTGCTTTATGATATATTGGTTTCCACTAAAAACCAGCATTTTAGAGATTTTAATAGTGTCTAGTAGAACATTATATAGACAGTGCCCACATGCAATGGATACTTCCATTGTTATTTTTAGAGGTGAAGCTAGGGGTCTTCATTTATCATGGTAATAGCCATTTTAAATCAGCTTTGCTGAAGTAACCGGCAGTCCTAAGGATGTAGCACTGTGGACGAAAATAAGCTCAGTTACCCTTGTCTGTTAATTAGGAGAAATTCAAATTTCTAGCTTTCTACAGGTACACTTATATCCAAGTTACCTACACAGAGATGTATACACAGTTTTTGCATACATACACATCTAACTTCTTAGTCATTGGGTGTCTATTCTTTATGCTTAAAACATTATTGAAAAGTGATGTGTATTTTTTTGGATTATTGTAATTACTAGTCAGTTTATAAGAATCATTGAAATATCATCATTTTCTTTCACATTCTTGTTAACTTTTATGTCCTCTGATGATACCTATGACTTCCACCATGATCAGTATTGCCACTTGCCAACTCTACATGAAAATATGTAAGCAATCTTCCATTGCTTAGGAATGTTATTACAGATATCCCAACAGAATAAGCAATAATTAAAAAGATACACATAAAAGGAAACCTGCATCTGTTTTTATTGCAGAAAAACTTATCTGTAAATCAATACCTTGTCTGCATAATGCAATGGTCTCCTAATTAGTATGGGAAATAGAAGAATCTGAACAACTCTTGGAACTAGTCTCACCCTCAAACCCCAGTCCCATCAAGCCCTAAGCATATGTCCACTCTCAACTGATTTAGTACAATAATGTCATATCCTGTGATTAAAGCCATGGGAAAATTGACAGTGACAAATCTGGGTGAAGAATCTTTCCTCACCAGCCAATGTGTAGGTGTAAAATTATATTTGATCCTGTTCTGTATAATACCCTGTTTAGGAAATGTACTGAAAGAAATAGTCTTGCATTGGTGGTGTTTTGGAGTGAATAGGTCTTTTCCATCTCTAACACGTGTGATCCCAGAGAATGGTCTGTCATCTGTCAGACAGTGAAATGCATGTTGTCATTGAATAGCTAAAGGTCAGTGTTTAGCTGAGCTAGGAGAATAATTCAGAGCAAATCAACTATTAGGCAAATGTTGCTTCTTTTTTGCTTACAAGTTGTCTGCAAATAGATCACAATTTTCTCAAATATGTTCATTATTCAGAATTATTTCCTGAATCATTTTGGTGTATAATTATTGGTCTGTTCATAAGCCTTTCATTTTGAGTGCTCAGTTTTCAAGCTGTTTTAATTGGATGTACAGATCACATGGTATCTTTCTCTCCTTTGGTCGAGTAAATGTAGCTCTTGATCTCCACATTTTGGTGGAAAAATCTCAATTGTGGTCTTACAGTTCAGTGACCAATGCTATTCCATGTTCTTATAATTTATGTAAGTTTCATGTATGTAAAGCCACTAAGCCAGATTCAAGTCCATGGCATGCTTATGTAAATCAGTAGTAAATGTACTGAATCCAAAAAAGCAATGTAGTGTACAATCAGTGTGAAGAATAAGGACTTTGAGAAATCAAATCACCTTTATGACAGTTTTTCATTATAACAGTTATGACGCTGAGTTAAAGCACCTCTCCTTTCATACCAAAGTTTGAATTCCATTAGTTTCAATTGGATTTCGCAAAGATTTTTCTAAGCTCTTTTCCTTTACTAATTATAGCGGAGTTCTTGGATTACACAAGCATGTGTAAAACAGGAGTATCCAACCCAAGGATGTTGCAAAGAGACTCATTTGGATTTAGTTGTTTGCAGCTTTATTTGTGTGATTTCTCACATTTTCTCTGTAAAAACGACCTAATTCTACGTTTGCCCTCATGCCAACACGTGTGAGTAATCAGAGCTCTGACAGACAAGCTCTAACAGATCCAATAGTGATGAGTGAAGGCATTACAACTTGCAGGAGTTCCACGCTTCTCCTTGCCGGGCAGACACCACGTCCCCTAGCAGAGGCAACAGACAGAGAGTCAGTCCCCTTGTATCTCCAGACCCTTCTGGCCACAAGCCACAGTGCACAGTAGAGGCTGCTGCTGCTAAACCTTCAAACACCAAATCAACATCTGCAAGGCCTGCAGTGCCTTTACAGCTGACAAAGCGACACTGCGGTGTAAAGCTCAGCTAGAGTGAAGTCATGTTTATGGGGTGTCAAAAACACTCCATTCAAATGCAAACTGTACAAAATTTAGAAGTAAAATGTAACAGCCTTTACAGCTCACTGCAGAAGGCATCCAAAATGAACATGGCATTTGGGAAATTACAGCGTGAACTATTGCCCAATATAATTGTCAGCGTCGGGTTCTGATTTCATTTTCACTGGTTTTTCATGAGTGCAACTTTTCAAAGCCTGTAACTTTTATATCACTCTGAAGCCTTGATCCAGCAAAGCACTTACACACATGCCTAAATTTAGATTGTAGATTCAGGGAGCCTGAGATCAGGAAGAGACCATCTGTAGGAGCTCTTCTGTAGCACAAACCACTTAGCTTCCCCTCCTGACTTCTGAGTTGAGCCAAATACTTTAAAGTCCAGGAGCAGTTCCTTTGAAATGAATTTCAATTACCCGCCTGCTTTGAATCACAAGCCTGTTACATGGTTTGTTGGACCAGGGCCTCCAGGAAATCAGAATCTGGTCTCTGACACTACAAATCTTTCCTATGCTTTCCAATAATGGTTTGAATAACAATTCTCTTATTTAAGATTTCCATGCATTAGCTAACAGTTTGGCTTGATAAAGAGCATCAGGATAGTGAACTGTCTGTAGCTGTCAGCTCCTACCCTCAAACTGTGCAAAATTATCCTCAAATTGTGAAAAATTCTGCCTTTGACCGTGCACACCTTTGTCCCTAGCTGAGGAGGAGGAGCAGATGTTTAGCTGCAGTTATATTTTGGGTGCTTCTCGCATAATACGGTTTGTGGCCCACATTGAGGTCCTCGTTGAACTGTTAAGTGTTCTCCCTGTTTGCATTGGCATCCAAGCAGCAGAACACATTAACAAACTTTAATGCACAGACCACAGAGTTAAGTTGGTGGGGAGGGACAGAAAGAAACACAAGAGCAAAGCAGTTCTCCCCGCCTTCAGAAACTTGAGCTAATGGCTCCAAACATAACATAATTTCACACGAGAAATGTGACTGCTTCAAGCATTATTCTACCATTTTCTCTCAAGTCCCCTACTCAGGAAATACCTTACATCATATTTAAGTCAAAGGGAACTAAACAGGACTTGAACATCTGCTTAGCATCATGCAAGTTCTCTCATGTCCTCCCCAAACAAAAATTCTCTCCTGGTTGGCTCCCATGAGAAATGACAGAAAGTATGGCATGACCTCTGTCATCTGTACTGAAGCTTCAGCTCCTCACTCCCTTCTTTTTTCCCCTTCCCATCCCTCAATTTCAAAAAACCAGGAAAGACAAGATTTGGAGATCAAGTCAAATGTCCAATTTATTTTTATAACTTGAAACTGGAACAAACGTTGTTTTGAACGAGCGTACAAATGAAATGGTAGACACATGCTGAACTCAACATTGTGACAATAAGGGGAAAAAAAAGAGGCCAAAAATCTTGTACAGAGAATAAAAGGAACAATAAATATTTCACTAAGCCATATTGAAATGACCTCCAGCCATCTCAACATTTTATCCATAATAAAAAAAAAAAGTGCTCTCGTTTTTTAAACAGAGCACAAATACCAAGCAATAATAAATAGTTCCAAACTTGTAGTAAAAGACAAAACCTCCAAGTAAACAACAAAAGCTCATACAATAAGTAATAGAAAAAGGTAATAAAAATATTTTGCCTTGCCGGTACAAATGCAAACAACTTAAATCAACGTTACTTTGCTTTGCAGTTCTAAAATACAAAGAGCACCATAAAAATGAGTTTGCCTGTGATAAACAAAACCTTGGACTGTCTTTTACATAGGACTGGGATGAAATACTGATTTTTTTTTTTACCCTTTCCTTAAAAATTGGTATTTTTCTTTCTAAAACCAGGTTCCTGGACCTGTCCTGCTGCTAAGGGAGTTGACTGGAGTTTTGCTCTGGACTACAAAGGCAGCAGGACTAGACACAATGAAAGTAATAAATTCAACCTTAAAAAAATAATGAAAAACTACCTAAAGTGTGAAAATAATTGTGGCAGCATTCTAGCTATGTCCATGTTATATTGTGCTTGTGGCCTAGTAAACTACAACTCTTCTAAGCTAGAAGATAAGGAGGGCCATTTCAGTATCACTACAGTCTGCAGAAACACAACCCTTGTGCTTTTGGGTGACTTACTGTTACTTTCAGTGATCTAAGTCACAAAATTAGACAACTGCTGGTGTTTGCTATTCTGGATCATTAAAAACAACAGGGAGACTGGAGCTCCTAAGCATCTTACACTAAAATGAGAGGTGAAATTATTTCTTAAATTAATGAATTGTGGACTGAAAATGTGCAGTTAACTTCTGATCTTCATTGCACTGATGCAAATACAAGAGATTCTTCTGAGTTCAGTGACACAACCCTGGATTTATGCGAAACTCCAGAGATCTGAATTTTCACCAAAAAGTGAAAATGTGCCTTTAAGGGACCACATTCCAACCTCCTTTATGCTGGAGTAATCCAGGACTAAGAGTTATGAATAATTCCCGATTTATATCAGTTTGATTGAGATCCAGAATTTCTCCGGAAGTCTTAAGGATACACCATTCAAGTCTGGAAGGCATACATCTATCTGTTAGGTAGCTGGACCAAATTCTCCCTGTCACACCCATGCCTCTCCAATTGCTCCAGTGTTTCTGCACGAATGAAAGCAGCAGAAAAATTTGGCATGGCAATATATTTTTTTTGGTTGTTGTTTTTGTTTTAAGTTTTACCACCATTTCCTGTGAGAGCACCGAGCATTTTCCCCTTCTCCCCTTCACTGAAGTATTAATGCCTCTTCTTCCACCTCTCTTTTCCCTCAACCCAAAAGAGAGGGAGTGTGAGAGAGAGAGAAAAAAAAGGGATTGCAAAGAAGAGAGAAATCAAAAGGTACAGGATTTCATCCCAGTCCCTCAAACATTCAGAAATTTATGGAATGTACATTTAGAAGTGAACAGCAGCAAAGCAGCTAATAACATGGACTGGCAAGACCTGTACACGGAGTCGGTCCTGTTCTGACAGGGAAGAGGAGGGCTGTGCCTGGACTAATTTTACTTCAACCCAATTACAGCTGTACCAACAGCAGACCATTTTATGTCAAAGTGGATGCAACAGCTCTCACTTTTTGCTATAAAAAGACTTTCTTCCATAGGGCGGTGGCAGGGTGTGAGGAGCAGTGAGTGGGGGTTGGCCGGAGAGGGAAGATGTGTTGGACATCTTCTTGTTTGCAAGGAGGGGAAGAAATCTCCTCTCTCTCTCTCTCAAATCTGCAGGGAAGCTGTGGGATGTCACCCCAGACACCTTTCCGGGAACGGAATTTCATTTCACACAAATAGGAAATAACCATCCAGCCTGGTTCAACCATACCTGGTAAAACCTTGATGCAAGGGGTCCAGGCAGCTTTGAAGTTATTTAGAGCCCTGTAGGAACAGCACTTTTTTGTAGGCCATTTCTGACAAAAAAAATATATATACAACTAAAATTATTTGTGAACAACCACAACAAAAAAATTTAAAATAAAAAAGCAATTATTTTGTTTTGTTTCTTTTACTCAAAGGTCGTCTAACAACCCCCTTTTTTCCTGTACAATAAGGACTTCACATACAAATTTTTTTTTTATTTTTGCAATATTTTATCCTGCCAAATTAAAAAAATATATTATGGCAGCCTGTTTGTTTGTTTTTATTTTTATTTCCAAATTCACTAACAAAAAGGTACATTAAATCCCTTTAAAAGGACAAGCGTACAGTTAAAAAATTACAAGCTTCAGTAAAAATACAGCAAGTGCCTACATCATATGAATCAACCAATATCAATATCCATTCCAGAAGGGGAAGGAAGGGGGCCAAAGGGGAGAAAAAAAGAGAAACATAGGTACAGGTCAGAAACGTGATTTTTTTTTTTTTTTCTGCAAAGCAATAACAATATTAAGCACTTTTTTCTACATACTTTTTCTACGTGGTGTAGCAATCACCTTTTAATCCCCGAATACAAGATTCTATACAATTTTTGAAATAAAAATTCAACACCCAAGGCAGAAAAAAATTTACTAAAACTCAAGACTTTACAGTTACAGTGACAAGAACAAATTTATAGACCCACCATTTAAATTTTACTGCAACATTTTCAAGGAAAAAAGAAAATTTTTTTTTTCTTTCTGGTTTTGTAAAATGCCCAGGCATTCTCCATTATTACAAATACTGGTCCACTTTTACAGTTATCAAGAAATTTTAATATATATAATATATACTAAAACCCCGTCACCAAAAGAAAACAATATACACATGGCCATTATGGCATTTTTTTTAATAACCTATTAAGCAAACTTTGAAAAAAAAAAAAGATTGCTCAAACACACATACACACAATTTCTTTTTTACCCTTGTATGTATTCAATACTGTAAACGTATTTTAAGACAGAGTGCACTAAATTTAACTTTTAAAAAAAAATTAGCCGTTGTTCCTGAATTGTTTTTTCTCATTCAATGATAGCAACTTGTAATTTGTGTCATTTGAGTTTTAATTCAGCAGTAAATCATTTCCATTCCATTTCCTAAGCAGCGTTGTCCTGAAAAAAAAAAAAGGCTGAGAATAATTCAGCTAATGTACGTCCGAAGTTGTGCTGGGTATACATCTTCATTTGATTGGGTCTTATGGCATTTTCATGTCCACTATCTTCAACCAGTAATTTTTTTTAAGTAAATGTGGCTCTTTTTTTTTTTCCCTAAAGAATGTACTTTTCTTGTTTTACTTTTTTTTTTTTAAAAGTCTTTCCATTTCACAAAAACATTTTGCATTTGTCTCAAGAGACTCAAATAGGAAGATCAGTTTTCAAGGCACTCACGTCAAATTGAATGGCAGTAGAAAAACTGTCCAATAAATTATTTTTATTTATTTTTCTTTATAGTGCCAGTATTGTGAATGCCATGCTTAGCAACACTGACACTTAATCTCAGCTGTTCCCTTACAGTTTAACCCACCTTTGGGCCAAGTAGAATATGATGTAATTTCTTGTTGAGAAGCCATTTTTCTCTTAACCACAAAACAAAAGCTTTAAAGTGCGGGTCAACATAATTAAAATCTCTAACCATAATTGTCTACTGTTTGCTAATATTAGTTGTAAAAGGCTTTAAAACATTTGGAATTTAAAAGTAGAGCAGGTGCATTTTCCTTTGCTTTACTTTTTGTCTGTCATAATGCTTTTGTCTGAATACAATTCCATTCTGTTCCTAATTAAGTCAAGGGAAAAACTCTTACCGACTTCAGTAGGAGCAGAATCCTGCCAAGACAGGTAAATCAACCAGGATTTATTTTTGTCTTCCTTCTAATAACATCACTGTACATCATATAATATTCTTACTCATAAACTAAGTGCCTATGAGTTGAGGCTTTTCACTGAGAAAATCACACTTTCCCATCTTCTAACAATTAACTACAGCAAAAATAGACTGAAGTAGATGTCCTGAATTCAAATTTCATGATTTTGTGGTTTAAAAAGAAAAAAATAAAAGAAAAAAAGAAAAAAAGAAAAAAGATGGCATTTGGCTCCTCTGAGGTTTGAAAATAATATTACAATGCTCAAGATGTACTTTTATTGTCTCTGGGAAGAGTCACAGGAGGGGAAGAGGGAGGGAAAAACACTCCAAAAAGTGACAAACTGGCACCATTATGTTGCCATAGCTTTTAACAGCAAGAAGAAACTATCAGATAGCAATGTACAATTAAGAATGTTTCTGGGTTTTGAATGTAGCTGCCTTCTGCACCTTTGTCTTTTTTGCTGTCATAGCTTTAGCGCTACAATCCATCTAGAAAAGGCCTCTATCATCAGCGACATTGTCAGTGCTATGTATTTGATCCAAATTCAAAAGAAAGTGCTAATTTTAAAGATTGTTATCCGCTGTACAGTTTTGTTTTCCCTAATCTTCAAGGTTATTTAAGAAGGGGAAATAAAAATTTAAAAAACAAAAAGAAAGAATAAAAGAAAGAAAAAAGGAAGAAAGAAAGATTTCAGTTCTCATGCTGGCTTCTTCACAAGAAATTACACACACTTAGCTTAAATTTCAACAAAGCAGCGGCCCAAAAATTATAATTTTAAAAGATATGTTTCTCCCCTACAATGCAAGTAATCTCAGGCTACGACTGGGTAAAATTAAAAAGGGATACCCAACAAAATTTTAAAAGAAATTTAAACAGAAAGAATAAAAAAAAGTACCTGCACATGCCAAAGAATTACAAAAACCCAATAAATACAGAAATTATTGCACAGTTAAAAGGCTCCACAATTTTTACTGCCTTAATCAACCCTCGGGTTTAATAGAACTTTGTAGACACAGGTTATATTTAAGTGCCAAAGTCTGGCACCTACCATAGTTATGCTAAGTTATGTTTACGGAGGCAAGTTAGGTCATCTTTTCTCAGTTGGCAATAGTTAAACTGTACAAATAAAATGTTACCTAGACCCCTGAAATTTAACCTAGTGGAGATGGGGGCGGGGAGGGGCAGGAGGGAGGTGTGGGGGCGGGGGGGCCTTAGCTTCTTTCTGCCTGCTCAATTTTGACGTCATTTGTCAGCAAATGTTCTCCATGCCACTTTTTCATGTGTTTCTCCAGGGTGCTGTAAACACTGAAGGGCATCTGGCAAATGTCGCAGCGGTAGACCTCCTTCCCTATCTGGCCATGCGTTTTCATATGGCGCGTCAGCTTACTGCTCTGGGCACATGCATAGTTGCAGAGCTCGCATTTGTAAGGCCGCTCTCCAGTGTGGCTCCGACGGTGTACCGTCAAATTGCTGCAGTTCTTAAAGACCTTGCCACAGTACTCACATGTATCGCTCCTGCGCCCCTCCTTCGAACTGGGTCGCCCAGGGCCGGGTCCGCTGATGTGGGGGGTGCTGCCTCCGCTCGCCGTGCCGCTGCGCCCTGAGAGCCCCCCGTCCAGCATGTCCCCCGGCGGAGTGGAGAAACGCAGGCTCCCGTTCTCCGACGAGTGCTCGGAAGAGGTCGCGAAGGGGGATTGTCGGGAGTCTGTGAATCCGAGGAACGGATCCTTCATGAAGTGCCGCGATGCTGCATACCCTACCAGCCACTGGGAGTAAACATTTTCGGAAGGTATTATCGTTGCTGGTGGCAAGTCCAAATCTTTCTCTACCTTTATTCTTTTAGAGGAATTGTTTAAACTGGGGCTCGTGATAGGTGTTGGCTTCCGGGGGAACAAGTTTGGGAAGGGTTCACCCGGGCCAAAGTTTCTTCCATTGACCGCACCTTCCTCAGTGCGGTCCAGCTCTCCTACCACTGAGTCTTCATCGCCCGGATCTCTCTGACAGAGATCTCGAGGACACAAGTCTCGCTGGTCAGAGGACCTTTTCATGAAGCTACTCCTCTTCTGTTTTTCAGCTAACATGTCATTATATTGCTGAATGGCACCTAGACTTACATTCTCGATGACTTTTCCCAGGACGAGGGATTTCTCGTCTGGCAGCGACTTGGAGCCGTTTTCTCGGTTACGACTCAGCTCTGAGTCCATACTGAAGCTTGACTCTGGCCGGCTCTCATTTTCAAGTTCCTCTTCCTCCTCCTCCTCCTCTTCCTCTTCTTCATTGTCATGCCCCAGGGAAGGATCGCTCTCGTTCCTGAAATCTGCCTCACTGGATTTCAGTCCCTCTCCAGTGAGCTCACTTGTGCCTGGCTCGGGGGAACTAGTGGTGGACAGTCCATCATCTGACCTGCCTGTCATGGAGCCAGCTTTATGCATATGTGTTTTCATGTGGCGTTTTAGCTTGCTGGCCTGGGAGCAAGCATGGTCACAGAGCTGACACTTGTAGGGCTTTTCTCCTGTATGACTACGCCGGTGCACAATAAGGTTACTCTGAAACTTGAATGTTTTCCCACAAAATTCACAGGACTTACTCTTGGCCTGAGGCTGGGGAGGCGTAGTGCTGCTGGGGGGCATGGGGGGCAGTGGCGGGGTGCTCAAAAAAGGTGATTTAGGACTTGGCTGGAAAGGATTCAGCAGGCGATGCATAGGGTTGGTGCGACTGGGTGAGACTGGCGGAGGGGTGGAACTGTTTCCTGCCAGCTCTCGAAGCCTTCTGGAGAAATCCATCGCTGGGGACTCAATTGCCATGGGGTTTAAACGCATAACTCTGTCAAAGGCACTGGGATGCTGGGCAACTAACCCCATTTCTTCGGCACTAAGGCGATGTGGATCCAGATGATGACGAGGCGGTGGGCTGAACAGTGGAGGTGTGTTTGGGAGCCGACCCTCACCAAAGCCAGGGTGTTCACGCAAGATGGGTCCTGTCATCCGCAAAAGATTAAAAGGGTTGTTGTCTCCAAGAAAATTCATCAGCGGGGACTGTGCAACAGTCTCCGGTCCCAGAGGAGGAGGGATGGTGATGCGTGGAGTAAGGGAACTGTTTGAAGGGCTTGTTTCCAGGTAGATGCGGAATCCATGTGTGTTCTGGGCATGCTGAAGCAAGAACCAAGCGCTATTAAAAGGCTGCTTGCATGTTGTGCAAATATAGCTTGAAGGCTCATCTTTACCTATAAAAGAAAAAACAGAAAGAACACTTAAAAAATAATACAGTGGAGAACATTTAAATACAGTTGGCATGCACTTTATTTTGCTAACACATTTCCTTCTTGGCATTTCTGAAAGAAGGATTTAATTGCAACGTATTGACTGATATAAATTGTTGAACAGCACATTTACTCACCACACTTATTCACCTAACATGTATGACAAATATCACACGTACGCATTTGTGCTATATACATCGACATCCTCTAACTTGCAAATAAAACCTTCCTTCATGACGTGTAAGGATCCAAATCCTTTCATGTGTTTATTTCACAAAAAGGAATTTGTTTCAAGGGATTTATGACTATGGACAAAAACCAAGCAAAATGCAGCGTGGTAGGTTTTACAAGGCACCTGCAAGGAGCTTCAGTGTCATTTTCATTCTTTCATTTTATATTCTTCATGCAGCAGTCCCCTGAGATCTTGCTGAATATAATTTATACATGCTTCAGTCATGCCAGCACTTCCATTTTTAAAATACTATGTAGGTATTTAGCCACACAAGTCCTATTCATGTCAACAGGAGCTTGGAAAACATACCCTTGCATAAACCACTTTGACATTCTTTTTGCCAAAACACCAAGAAGCCACTCAAATGAAACATCCGGTAATCAAAGCCGACAGCACACTTGCAATTAACAGTAACAAATGTCGGGCCGTGCTTGAACTGGGTCCCAAAAATTTCTGAGCCTGAGCCTGCCCTCCAATGCAGAAATGCTCACCAGAGCCAAAAACATTGTTCTGTTTGCTTTTCTAGCCTCTTTGAACGGCTGCATAAAGGTGGAAAGCATTCCTTTAACCTTGATTCAGCTTTACATAAAGGACAGGTGTGGACAAGTCTGCACCACAGTCATAATTTTGCTAGCTAGAAAATTCCAGTCCTGGGCACAATATAAACTATGTGCTATCTTCAAAAAGCACTTTTCTCCGAGTCCCCTCCTTTTTTCAATGTCTCTGCAAGACTCTGATAAATTCATAAATATGTGTCAACTTGAAATTCACAGTCCAGGATTTGTTTTGTTGTTTGTTATTAAATGAGGGGAGAGTTTCCTGAAAAAATAACTGCCCCTTTTGGAAAACCTAGAATTAATTTCTTGCTTGTTTGTTTGTTTGTTTGTTTATGAAAGCACATATTTTGGCTAGCCATGGCCCCACTGCACCTAAAGGCACTGAACTTCCTGATAGTTCTGTAGCTGAACCAAGCTTCCTGCCTGACCTGTGACAGTGCAAGGACCCAAGCAATGCCTGATTCAGCCGCTCCACAGGAGCTCAGATCCAAAGCTGAACTACACAGACCCTTTTCTAGACAGGGACGCTGCCATTCACAAAAGCCTGTTGCATGAGCTTGAAAATGAAAGAGTTTATAAGGTGAACAGAACCGTATTATTGAAACTACCTTGTAAGGGGGAATGACTCATAGCAGACCAAAAAAAAAAAAAAAAAGTTAAACTCAGGCACACCAGGAGAAGCGGGATTGCTGCTGACTGAATTCCCCTCTTCTGGCTGTTGCAGGAACGGCTGCTGCTAACAAAATCTACAAAACCTTAGACAAGGAGGCTAGAAGATTATCTGCCTACCTATCAGCCTGTCAGTTTATCTAATCTTATCACCCAATATACATCCATAACAGCATAAAGGAAAAAGAATGTATCAGATTGAGACTTATTTAAAAAGGCAGGTGATAAATGTGATGCAACTCCTCACGCTTCTATTGATTTAGCAGGGCTATTGCTGTGGACAGCAGCTTCAAACCATGATTTCAGGGAAGCCATCTCTTCACAGCCAAGAAAAAATGTATACAATACAGTGGGCATTTGTGCCTGGCTGACATGGCCCCTGTGCCCCAGCTCCGCATGCTGTGTCTGTAGACAGATGCAGTTGCTTTGATTAATCTCTAACAATCTCTGTTCGAAAAAACACAAGTTTGAGAACTGCACTCGGCTTGAAAAAAGGGCGCGTAACTGCTATTGACATTAATGAAAGCCACATACAAACATGGAAAGAAACTGATACATTATCCCTTAAAAATCTACTCAGCACTGAGGCAGTTAGGAAGTTTTATGTCAGCTTTGCAGCCAAAGCAACAAACCCATTATTACTTCAAATATTTAAATTTCTGTTTCTTACAGAAATATGATGAAAATGTCTAGACCTTTAACTTTTCTTGCACAGCAACATGTGTAGTATAAAAAGTGACAGAAATCACTGAAGCAGACTAAAGTATATAACATACTCTGTCAAAAGCTTTTTTAAACAATATGTTTTACCTCAGCTCACCCTAGAATAGATTTTAATAAAGCCCCTTCCAAAGTGTGATCTAATAGCAAATGAAGTGCAGCATCTTACAAGGTCGTATATCTTCAAATTAAAGAGTGCTCTGCACCCTTCACCTTCACTTTATCCACTCTAATTAATCGATTTATTACCCACAGCTGTTCGATTATTTCATTTTTAAAGTCACAGCATGCATTCTTTTTTGTTGTGGGGCTTTTTTCCTTTAAAAAAATTAAGTGTGTGAGTGTCTGTGTTGTGTGCATGCATTCTCTCTGCTTAGCTCAAGAACTGACAGGAGGAAGAAAGCAGCTGTGTATTAGACAACAAGAACAGCAACACGTTTACTTGAGCAAAGGCACATACGTAAGAAGAAAAATTCCTCAGCAGGCTGAGGATCAAGGCCAATCTAAAACTGAAATGGCTGATTAAAAAAATTACCCTCAAAATGGCAGCTGGCTGGATGCTTGCTATTACATGTTACATGGAATTAAGATGTTTTAGTTTGTTTTGTTCTCCAAAATTTCACCTCCACGAAATGAAGAGAGGAAAGTAAATCCCATCCTTTTTTGTTTTCTTTCAAACAGCAAATTAGTGCTATTAGTGATCTAAGACTTACAAGCTAGCAGTCATAAGTCTTCTCTTCCTTTCTGTTGTTTAGCTTTTATGCTCCTTAAGACTCCTCTTAAGGAGACCCCAACACAACAACAAAATTGACTGCAGGCTACCTGGCTACCAATCTCTGATTGCTTCATGAGTGTTTATGTGTATATGTCTGCATATATAGATAAATTTTATTTTTTAAAAAACTTTCACAACCCTCAAAGACTCTCCCCAGACTCCCTGTTCAAAAAAAAAAAAATTTAATTTCCTTACTATCACTTCATGGTTATCTTGCCTAAAAATTGCCCTGAGCAGTGTAGATGCTCACTTTTAAGAACAGAACAATGTCAAAAATCTTTGAAGATCCAGTCCAAACATTTTTATATTCAAAAACTTGCTAAATATTTTAAACATGCCCAGAAACAGCCACATATTGCTCAAGAATGATCCTTATATTTAATAATGCAGTGTACCTACACTATAAAACTCTTTGTTATAAGTCTACTTTTGATATATGGCTATCTTAATCCCTTGCCACCTGCACTGAAGTCTGTTTAAATATCCTCTTTATGACAACTAGCTATATAGTCTTTGCCATATGCAGTCTTTATCACTTTAGCATGTGCTTGACTTTGACCATGTGAGTAATCAACATCAGTGAAACTTAAGCATAGGCTGAAGTGCTCTGTTGGATAGTGATGAAATTATTCATGTGCTTAGAGTTAAACACAAGCCAAGACTTCATTATTACTGTTCAATGAATTGCACATGGTTTCAATGCTACAGTCTGTAACTAGGCATGAATCTCAGGGCTCATAGTTCAAGTATAATTCTTTATCTTTACAGTAGTTGGTAGATATGGTGTATCTACCATACAGACATGAGACATCCAGGTCACAACTCTTGAGCAATCAATTGTAGTTTCACAGTTGCAGTAAAGCCAAAAGAGCACTGCCACATTCAGACAATGAGAGGTTTGTAGGGCTGAATCCTACTGACACACAGGTGTATAGATTTCGAAATACTGATCTGAGGGCCAGGAAGAATCATGAAAATAAAGAATGAGAGTACTAGGATAAACTTAGGGTTTGCCCTTGTCCAGTTCCTGACCCAAGGGATCACAGAATCGCAGAATGGTTTGGGTTGGAAAAAAACCTTAAAGATCATCTTGTTCCAACTCCCTGCCATGGACAGGGACACCTTCCACTAGACCAGGTTGCTCTAAGCTCCATCCAGCCTTGCCTTGAACACTTCAAGGGATACAGCATTCACAGCTACTGTGGGTAACTTGTTTCAGTGCCTCACTACCCTCACAGTAAAGAATTTTTTCCTAATATCTAACCTAAACTTACCCTCTTTTAGTTTGAACCCATTCCCCCTTATCCTGTCACAACATCTCCGTATTTATGCATCTGTTCATATCTATGGCAGATGCTCCGTTATCCCACTTCAAAGGCCACCAAATGGAGATTCTACAACCTTTCCAAAGTCAACCTTGTTCCTTCTCTCCTCTACAGTCATGAAGGTTCCCCAAGTGCCTAATCTTTCTTCCTGCAATTTAAGATCATAATATATTGTCCTACCTAGATGTACATACAAAACATAAGAAACAATTTAGTAAGCTCCTCACATATAGATATCATCCAACCCAGAGATTTGCAGTTGAACTACTTCATGTCTTTTAGCAACTCCTTCTCCAGTTTTGATTTGGAAATGTCAAGTGAGAGAGAATTCACTTTGTATTGGAATAGTCTGTGGCCATGGTTGACTATTTTCAGTTCTAAAAAAACCCCTCTCTTCTTTCCAATTCAAATTGCTGAGTTCAACGCCCAACCATTAGATCTTGTTACATTTTTATCTGGGAGATTAAAAATCTCTCCAGTGTCTTCTGCCAAAGCAGGTAATTATAAACTATGAACTTATTGAACACTCTTGCCTTTTCTGCATATTATGACAAAAGATGGTCTTTTCCAGAAATATTAAAATGTGTTCCCTCCATTACTGCATGACAGATTATGTTCCATTCAAAATGTCAAAGCAATAATGAGCTTTTTTCTCTTTCATGAAGAGCACAAAACAAAGCGAAATT